TATATATATATATATATATATATATATATATATATATATATATATCAACTGTATTATCCAGAGGTAGAGGTTGTTGAAAAAAGCTTGTTCGCTACGTGTTTTAGTTAAATGTAGAAAAACCGCAAAATGGAAGCTTCGTTTATGTTATGATACCAATGCAATGAAGTGAGTCAATTAATCAAAAAGCGCTGGAACACTACCGTCAAGCACATCTATTGCACAGCCAATCTGGTCATTACTACCACCGACATCAGTGAAAGAACCATTCCCCCGACCCCGACACGTCAGCCGAGTTAAACTGCAGTTACGAATTCAAGTTTGGATGCTCGGTCATCCACATAAGCCGTTACTTCACCGAATGACCCAACACATCCCGTTGTGGCTTAAGAAAGCGACGGACAACCTTGGAACCGCTACGTCGTCGACCGAAAAAAAGACTGATCTTCGTTTACGCAATATCTATTTGAACAGAAACATTGTCACGCCAGTCCGTGGACTGGTCATTTACAACAACAAATACTAAGTTACTGAATTTTACTGAGGCTCTAACCATTCATAAGCACAAACCTGATCCATGCAGACGTGATTAGTTGGTCATATTAACTTTGCTTCGGTGATTGACCCCCCCCCCCGCTTTCTCCCCTCGTTTTTTTCCCGCTGCTCGCTGTTATTAGCATTTTTACCTTAGCCTTATGATTGTTGTTTTACTCACGATGAAAATCATCTTAACCGCAGTAAACATGTGTACAGATGCAGCGAAATGGCCGTGGATACATTAAGCCAACTCATGTTTCTGACTTCTCTATTCCAATTTGTGACGAGAAAAGATTGTTTTCTGGTTCTAGTAATTTATTCTTTCAGCCTTCCTAGCCGCTGCCCATTCAATAAACCGAGAGGACTAGGAGCCCTATCCAACCAACAACTCGAAGCAACGTGAGAAATCATAAGTTATGTGGCGCAAAGCATAGCACACAGTAGGTAAATGACCTTGGATTCACGCGCTACGACAGTCACCAGATAGATAGTCTGAAATATGGGTAGTGGTGGCGCGTGCTTTGCACCCTATGGTTCGAGCCCAGCCAACCCCACTCAACTTTGGTGGTAGACAGCTTTGCTGTCGTCCGGTTTAATACCACGCTTAACCTATTGGGGCTTTCTGTGGTTCACCACTCTAAGTCCCTATGCTTATGTTATTGGTTTCCATGACGGAGCAGCAGGTCTTCGTCACTATCTGTTGTTTACCACACAAATGTGTAATAAAAACGAATAAATGCACATGATTCGATCGATCGGAGTAGCTCCGACTCGGAAACTCGGTCACTCTCAACCGGCCCACAGAATCAACAATGACAACTGATGTAAAGGATTACCGTGGTGGACAATATCCTCCAGTTCAGAGTCCGTCTACATTGCTCTGGATCAAGGTGTACTTTATACTTGCGCAAATCCTCGGTTCTCACTGCGGTGACAGTGAAGTAGTCACTTATCCACCATGTTGCCGAATCCTCAGCGCCTACAGGAACAGTATAATTCCCTACCTTGTTCGTTCTTCGGCAACAGCACATAGATCATTACCAGTCTCGATAGCTGCAAGGTGCACAATGTCTGCTCCCCTTCTTGAACATTTTTTTACTCTCCACTGTATAAAATGATAGAGATTCATGCCATTGGCAATAGAACGCGACATTTACCACAGCATTAAAGCATAAAATTCCCATGTGATGTCTTCTAATACAGAAGTTGCAAGTTACGCATATATTCGACCGAGACACTCGGAGTAACAACGTCACATTTGACCAAAGCTGGAAAGCTGCTCAAAGTGGCACAAAGTGTGACCACTTTTAATTTACAGTTGCTTCTAGGGAATGTCCTTTTACCTGGAATTCTCGCCTGATAGACTGATCATGCTTACGATATCGAATCGTAACTGACTTATACACTTGAGCGATCAAGGCCGAATTCTAGCCCCGCATTCTCAGCAAACAAGATGAACAAGCCAGAAACAAAAATGCTGACGCAGATGGACTAATTGTGCACAAAGATGTATGTGTACGTGTGTTTGTGTGTGGATTTAAGACAATGAGATTGCACATGGACGTACATAATGCACACAAGGCGACAATAAAAGAAACCAAAGCATACAAAATGAATAAGGGATTTGACTACTTGAAACGTTCAATATAGAGTACGGGTTGAACAAGGTATGAGAGTGAGGAACCCGTGCATTTGGGAAGGGCTTGAACTAAAAGATAAAGGCAATGCATTGTCCATGTTCACTATAAATAAGGGAAGGGGGCCTGGCAACGGACAGTAAAATATTATTGGTAGAAAAACGAATGGTTTCCGAGAAGGGTGAAGGTAAAGACAAGACAAGTAGAAAAAAAATATTATTGCGTGCTGCGTGTACAATTACTTCATCACTGTTCAAAACGGATGGTCCTGGACATCCAACGGCTATGGCGAATAGCGCTCGAAACAGGGAAATGAAAAAAACAGTGGGAGGAGGGGGCGAAAGTCATACGAAAAACGAGCACCATCCGTCGAACAAGATGACCAAGGGTTTATCGACGAAAGCAAACTAAGAAAGTTGTCGTCAGAGCATCAGATAGGATACGCTTGAATTGTTTGCTTTCGTAACAATTTGACTTGAATCGTGATTTTGAGAGAACAAGTGCCAAAAAGAGGCCATTAAATGCTTTCATAGAAAAGGCCTTACCTTCAATCGAAAAGGACATTTCGGGTAAGACAGGGAATTGGACTAAGTGGACCAAGCATTTTTACAGCAAATTCTGGTTTGTTAACCAGTCGCTGTTTGGATCATCCAGAGACATGAGCTCCGGGCTCAAATAACCAGTACCTGAAACGATTGCAGGTGATGCACTTGATCCAGCCGGATTGGTTTGAACGCCGGGCATGGCTGCAGGTCTCGAATGCCGTACTGGTGGTGCGTTTGAGACAGACTTGTAAGTGGTACTGGGTTGTGCCATGTACATTTCGCTGGATGGGCTCATGTAACCACTTGTGTCTAAACTGGCATAGCCACTTTTCCGAGCTGAAGCTGAGCCATTGCCCATAGGTAAAGTTGTGACACCAGCCACAACCGGTGGATTAGCCGTGGCTAATCCGGGATCCAAAGCGGTGGGGTGTGGGCCCAAGTGTACGTAATTGGGTCCACAATGAGGATAAGTTGATCCGACGGGTAGTGCATCAGGACGCATTGAACGAACAGGGGGAGGAGCGCCACAATATCCAGAACCACAGTGGTCCAGATACATACAATTGGGATCGGAACAGCCACCAGTAGAACCACAGTCACCCCAGTAGCCACAATAACCCGTGCAAGTGGGACCTGATAAAGACAAAACGCAATAGAACGTGTTGACAGGAATGATATTGTGAGATGAGACACAGTTCACGATAGACCTAAACAAATGTGAATGTATATGTTCAAGTAAATGGTGAGAATCAGGGGTAATCAGATGCTGTAGTCTATCTAGTTTACCTTCAAATGAAGAACGGTGGGACCATGCATATGATTGTGGTGACTTTTTACCCAAATTTAAAAGTGGTTTCTTCTGCTCTTATTAGTTAGCCCTGTGCTGAATATATGATCATAAACATCGCTTGTCTTGATCAGCACAACATTGAGTGCGTAAGAGAGAAAGCTTGATACCAAAAATGGGCACAAAACCAAGAAAACCGGAAGAAAGTAAGAAAACGAAGGAAAGTCATGTACAGTATTTTTATCATTGCGTTATCTTTCAAATTGTGAAGTCCTAATAGAGGACCATCAACGGATAGGGCAGGTATCTTAGACCCTTCCCCAGAAATGTCTAACCGATTTCGAAAAATTTAATCATTTTAACAAGTTAAGAGTCAACTGCTTTCATCTGCTCTCTTACCACTACTCGCTTTAGTGGAACACAAAGCACCGAAGAACTTCATCGGAAAACACGAGTACTGCTGTTTCCCACCACCAGAGGAAGCTTTTGATGATAGAGCAGTTTATTGTGTTCAGGTATGACTGCCTTATTCCCTGTGTAAAAACAGTACTACAAACTCGTTTGTTTCATCATACGCCGGATAACACAGTGAATAGAACATTGCTCAACTATTGGCTGCATAAAAAAATCGGCCAATAGATAACTAAAATTGAGATTAACAGGATGTGATGAATCAGATGAAGAATATCTGAGAAGGGTAATAAGGTCAATAAAGATTGAGGCAATGTACAAAATTACTAAGCTACTCAGAGACCACCGGTCATACAGATGTCGCGCATGAAGACGATTGGAGATCCATGCGCTATCAGAGAAAATGAGCAAGGAAGATGAATGCACAACACATCCCATAAGGAAACTAACCTTTATAAGCAGCAGGAGGTGGACCTAACATTTCGGTAAGTGAATTGGGTGGGGGGCTAGACGCAATGTGCATTGGATCTTGTGACACTGGTCCGGGCGAGAATTGATGCGACCAGGTGGGGTGTGATGGGATGGTCGAAAGAGGACAGCCACTACCCATGGGAGCAGCTTGTTGCATAGGAGGGCCTTGAATAGATCCGCCAATATCCATAGGCAGAGGCGGTGTGTTTAGAGCCTCTACGTGGGATGGGAACATACATGTTGTACCGGATGTGACCTTCCGTTCTTCAGTTAGACGAATGACTACCGCAGACGCGTATGTGGCGATAGCTTCATTCCGTGAATGAACAAGTTCATTGAAACGTGCACTCGCTCCTGGAAGGTTCGCCAAAGCATCTAAACCGTCACGATCTAGTGAGACTTCAGCTAGAACACCCGCAGCAGCCCTTTGAATGGATTCATGGGCGGAATATAGGAGATGAACAAAAATGGCCAGACCTGGACCACCCGGTTGCACGTTGGGCGCAATCGCCAAATTCGGAGCCTGAAACGAACAATGTAAACATTACGAAAAACGATGGGTAACAGTTCAAAACATGTTTTTAACAAACGAAGAAACGTTCAAGACAGTTGTATGAAACGTGTCATGTGCCACATCTCGTCAGAAAGCTGTACACATCATTTCCCTTTGACAGGATTGTGAACTTTCAGTAGCTAAACAAAATCAATAATCTGTTAACCATAATGCTGCTCATTCGCGAAGTGAAGCATATCGTAGTGCTGGGAGTTTGTCCTTTTGTTGTCAGTTAGATCACCAGTTTCACTGGTTTGTTCACGAAGTAACTGCATACAGAGATAACAATGACAAGTTGAAAACTCGAATGGACGCAACTGAGAAAGTGAATCGTTAGAACTATGATCAATGCATTTAACGAGGCAAATCAGGTGAGGTAGTCGGAAAGAGGAATAAAGCGCCTCAGTGGTCTTTTTATCCGACGATAGGACACACAGAGATGCATCAAAACACGGAAATTAGTTAGATACCTTTAGTAAAGCCAAATACGAGCGAGTGGCATAGTCTTTGGCAAGCATGTGAAGAGCACCGCATATTCCCTCCACAATTTCTTCCAGTCGAACGCTTTGCACCATGGTAGCGAATGGCGGATTGCTGTTAGAACCATTGAAGGAGCTCCGCTGGACGCAAACGAGAAAGTAGAATCACCACTTGAAATATAAATGGCAGAGTTGCTTACTTGAAACAGGTGATATGAAAAAAAATCAATCACGAACATTAGTGTACGTTGTGCATAAGATGCGAAAAACTATTGATCGACAGCTCAAGATAAGGAGATAAGCAAGCCACTGACACTAACTGTACATAATTTATGTGATAAATTACAGGAATTACATATTGCGGCTTCACTGAACTGATCAAGTGCGCAACGACAGTTTTTGTCTTAGGTGACAGACTTTCATTTAAAAGATTACACTTTTGTCACAAATTGAGAACTTACTTTGTATTCACCACTTACGACTGTTTTCCTTCGCAGTATGTATTGTCAGACATTTGAAGTCAGCCACACTGCATGGGCTAAACGAATATTTTCACCAATAACCATAAGTAGCTGAAAGCCTAAGGTTTTGGTGTCCTTCAGGACTGATAACTCCATAAGGTGTTCGCATGTGCTTAAACGCGAGAAAATTGGACACTATACAAACGCTGTAAGAAAAAAAAATACATATTTGCACTACTAAGTATTTGGATGAAAGAAGAACCCGACAGATGAGAAAGAGTTTTCCAAATGATTGCCTGAGACTTAAAAGCATGACAATTCACGGTAGCCAACACTGACGATGGGGTTCGTCTCCGGAAACCTTTACTGTAACCACACAGTTGTACCTTATTAGTGGGTTCAGGAAGGATCATCTTCTGGTAACGTTTCTCGTTCAGATAGGAACTCCAGATGTAGTGATCAGAACACAGCTGGAAGAGTGTACGAATTCATTAATTATATAAAAATCGTGGTAATTTATTGGGGAGAAAGGACATGCGAATACATATATCGACCCATTGGTTGACTGGATTGTGTTTAACCGTCTCCATTGGTTTGCGGTTCCGACCGATCACCTGAGTTCCAACAGCCTTATGCTGATTGGTTGTCCCAGAACAAACCAGTTTTAAGGGAGCAAGCTGACTTCCTGATAGCCTAGACCTCAGCCTGTCTCCAAATACTGAACCACAAAGCAGTGGGGCGTAGATCCAACGCGGGAACTGTACGGGAGTTTCTTCAGACCTTTCACGCAAGGCCTCCTGATTTCAGGTTAATTTTTTGTTCGACGGTATGCTATCCACTCGCCGTTCGGAATCGACCCTTAACCTTATACACCCAATGAGACGGGCAGCACGTGGAGAAGGTAGGAAATTCAGTGGCTGCAGGAGGACCAGTTAGGGCAGGTGATAAATGTCCAATGAAGTACAAAGAGTTCTCCCTTCGTCGGGAAGAAGCTTCGTGTACCCCGCTCCTACGTTCATCCAGCGGGATCTTTTAATTTTAACTATTGATTACAATGATCCCGAAGTCTCTATCCAGGAAGCCCAACGCGACCTTTATGAACAAGTCTCCTAATCAGAGGGTTTTAGTCGGATCACCCTTGGCTTCTTTACATTCAAGACCTACCGCGGCAAATATTGCGCTGTGGAAATTTATTAGGTGACATCCGCAGTACATGCCCCAAACAACGTTGCTTATAAGTGGCTGACCACGTGCTCCAGTGGGAGACCACGATCACCTAATACTCTGCGCTTAACCTCCGTTTTGCTAGTCCGATTCCTCAACCACAATCGCGCAATTAGGTGTAGACAGCGATGTTCGAACACCGACATTTTACCTTTGTCCGGTTTTCGTAATGGACAAGTTTATGCGCGGTATGGCAGAACCTGACCAACTGTTGCAGCATATAGCGACGGCAATACAAGTGTCTCAAGTTGGTAAATTCCATTAGTGGAGCAAGTGGATAAGTTTTGTCATTTGGGTAGCTACATCTCTGTGTCTCGGGCCCCGAAATGGCCATTCGTCCCAAACTCCCCTCGAAATGCTCCTAAAGGACCAAGCGCCTCAAATAGCTTCTGCTGAGGAAGTCCTACCTACCGCTTTCTCGTGGCGGAGGTGTTAACACTAAAGTGGGAGAGCAAAAGCGAACGCCCGGCGCTTTCCACCGGGTTGACTGACCACTGNTAGTCAGTCTAGTGGAGTTGGCTAAACCCTGATTCCAAACCACCCACACCTGGCGTAAGAAGCTCATAATGGCATCAATCTTCGGCGCAACCGAACCGTCTCCAAAGTTAATCTTTGGAGGTGACCACCGTGATGCTCACCGGCAAGTGCGCGGCTCAAGGGCAATCTGGGTACCCTGGACAATTGGCCGCATCCGATAGGCGTATGAACTGGCTTCATTTAACGTAAGAATTCTAATGTGTATGGGACAACGAGCAGGTTTAGCTCGTACGCTCGAAAGTCTAGAGATTGAGGTGTGTTGCCTCGGAAACGCATTCAGGATCCGAGCTCAGTGATCCGATTAACGTCTCCTTCCAACCCAAAAGAAGCGTTTCAA